AGGCAAAAAGAGTCCTGGTGTAGTATCTTGTAATGCAAGATTAAAGATATCAGTAACTATTCCAAATAATGTATATGAGGGTAAAAATACTAAACTTGTACAATTATCCTTGTCAACCCTTGAGATGGGCTTGTCCTGCCCCAGGGAGTGTATACACATGTGCATGGTCAAACTAGCTGAAGGTTTTGTGGGATAGCCTTTGCTCATGTAACCTTAATTATTATATGTTTTTAACCTTTCTAAGTCAGTTTACAAGGATGCATTAACTGTCTCTAGAAAATTTGCATGAAAATCTATAAAAATTATCTTATTATACATTACTAGACATGCTCTAAACTAGTTATGAAACTGTTAAGTTAAAAATTATTTCAACTGTGACTTTCATAGGCCTTATACATGTGTGAAACTTTCTGCTTGGCTGAATGTCAATTAATCACATTGTAAACTATTAAGAAGTGTATGTAGTCTGTTGCTTTTCTACACAGTAAAAGGGTGACATTTTCATGTTATTTGCCTATTATAACCCTTTTTCTCAATGTTTCAATAACTATTTCCAATACTGTATATGTATCTTGATCCTGTTTATAGTCACAGCAAAGACTAAGAAAGAAATTGTCTTAATAAAACAAAGTTGAAAATGGTGCCAACTGTCTTACACGAATAGCAGAACTATACTTAAAATATCATCACCTTAGCCCAATTTATTGACACTACTTTTCAAAAAGGTTTTGCTATATGTATAAAGTAGTTGATGCCAAATTTTACTTTTTCATCATAAATATACACTGCCTAACATTTAATTAGCTTGTTTTGTAATTGTTATTAACCATACATGAAAATACAAAATTAACATGTTTTCCAAATTCTAGCCTTTTTTTCTTAAGCCTAATTGTTGTTCTGAACACCTTCGCTTTGTCCCTGCATCAGCTTGTAAACTGTCCTTTACTTGTTGTGCACCTTCATGTAAGTGTACATGTATATTTAACTAAAGTATTAAAAGTGGCACTCCTTCTATCATGCTGCGGTGTCCAAATATATTATCAGGTATTTATTTTGTGTTGATAAAGATTTATTGACTTGTGTGAGTTTATTACATTAACTGAGGGTAGTGATAAGATTTTTTTTTAGTTTTGTTAAATGTCAACTTTCCTAAAGTAAGCAACAAAGGAACTTAAGAATTTTTCTGAACACCAGCAAGTGATAGGGGAAATTTTCAACATGAAGATACTTTACAAAATATAGCAAATTATTTTTATTTTTCAAATTCCAAATTCAAGCTTTGTGTTTACTGTTTTGTTTAAACACTAAGCATATCTTTTAGTTGTCACTAATTCATAGTGATAAAAAACTTAGTTGAGGTACTTGATTGAATATCAAAGGAACTGTTTAGTATATAACTAATACTTTCATTTTAGTATTAATGTATATTATAAAAAATACTCATCTTTTATGTGTAATAGTATGCAAAAATTCTGCTAAAAGTGGACTTGATCTGGAGAGCATAGTATTAGCTATGAAGTTAAATAGTTTTTTTATATTTCTATTATTTTTCTGGATGATTTTGTAGGTAAAAACTGTTCTTGAGCTGCAATTGAGCTTTTGAAATATTTATTCATGTTTTGTGCAATTCATACATACGTGTACCTTAGGAGAACCAAAGTAGGTCAAACAAGTTTACAGTCAGTCAACTGTAGTTAATAATTATTCTTAAGTGAACCACCTAGGTTTTTAGTGTAAGAGACATGCTACATCTACGTAGCTTGAGAACTACAGGTACTGTCTATTTTAGAACAATGAAACCAGTAGAATAGAAGTCTAGACAGGTACATGTAGACCTACATCTAGAAGTTGCCTGAGTGATACATATACCTGCACAAGTTAGATGTACCCCACTTAGCTATCCCTTTCCACTTGTGTATGTGTGTGAGGGAATTGAAGTCTACTTAGAAGATAATATTTGTTCAACCCAGTATGGTAAAAAGTATGTATACACTTTCCTTGTTCATATTGCCAGTAAATGTTGGTGGTGTCTTTTCAAACTTTAAACTTGACTTCTTTTTTTAGATGTTGTTCATTGTGTATAATTTCATTAAAATTTCACTGAACTGACGTGAGTAGTTTTTCATCATTTTATTTTATTTGTTTTAATTTCCGGGTTTTTTTCTGTATATTCTATCTAAACATACTGGTACAAGTCCTGAAACATGAAACATAAAAGTTTAGCAGGATCCATTATATCCTTTTTTTTTCAGTAAAAAGTTGTACAAATCACTTAAACATATATTCTTTAGAACTATAGACTATTGAACACACAAGTAATTGAAAGGTTGTGAGATTCTCCAGTGAGACAGCTAATATCATTAGTAAATGCTGTTAACTTTCATTCACTAGATAGAACATTACCAACTATTACAGAGCACTTAATGTTTCTTCTCCATCTTTACATACTGTGGATACGTTCAGACTAAATGTAAAGTTATGGTACAGGTTATTTCAGTGTTATTTGAGTAGTAAGTTTGTTATTCTACTGAACCTAACCTGTCATTAAAACTGAATCTGGCTAAAATGTCATATTCAGACAATCTAATTTTAATTTGAGACATTTAAAAAGTTATTCTTTCTATAATAGCATACAACATATAATATGTTCAAAAATAAGAAGCTTAATTTTGCAGTTCTTGTAAATTTCTTAATTTATAATTTGTTTGACATGCTCATTAAACACTGCCAAAAACTCTGATTAGGGCACTTTGTGTTATATATTTTTATATCAAGTTATTTTTCTCATATAAATTAAAAACTAGGGTTGAGTGCTTAAAAGTGTATCATGCTTTTATGTTAAGTATGCTAGATCTGCACATGTAATAGAATTTAGTGCATATTAAACCTTGCAATCATTAAAATGTGAGTAAACTAGATATCCATCTATTCAAGAATATACATGGTACATGAAGTCATATTCAGAAAGTGATCAATAGATAACATATATATCATAGTATATAGCATATTTTCTATACAAAACTCTATAAGGTTTGTGTTATTATTCCCTAAGTTGTATTAAAGGTATTGAGTAAATTTACCATTAGGTAACTTGATAACATTAAAAAGCATAATATGTATGTATGAGAAACTTACTTGCATGAACATATCGTTCAATAAAAAGCTGTAAAAGTGAAATTGTATGTAGTTGTGTAGTTATGAAAGTGCATGAACTTTGTATTGATATAGTTCAAATATATTTAATAATAAAGTAGTATATAGCTGTGTAATAATAATAATATGGTTTAAGCAAATGTTACACTAAAGTATTACATAGTTAGGTGCAATCAAACAGATAGGACAGTAAATGCCCCAGTGCCATGTCTGCAGACTTATACTGTTAGAAACCGGGTTTCGATACCTGTGGTTGGCAGAGCACAGGTACTTTGTACTTTATAACAATCAAACAGATAGGACAGTGAAATTGCACTTGTGTAATAATATAATTCAAATATGAAAGTATAATAGCATCTGTTTAGGAAAGTGATAGAAACAATTGGTTATAAAAGTACATTAGCTTTGCTTGTGGTCTGGACTAATTTAATCATAAATTACTATGTTTCTTTGTAGAATATTATTTAAACAAATGTAACAAAGTATTATGTAGCTGTATAACTTGATTCAAACTGACATGGCAGTAAAGTAGTATATGTTGTAATATGGTTCTAAGAGACATGAATGTCTAATAGTCTGTGTTCTAAGCAGATTTGATAGTAAATTTACTAAATTTTATGAAGTAATATTGTTACCGATGTTTTTATAATCAAATTGGTGATAACACTAAGTAATTATCCTATGTTCTGAGTGGAAAGGTAAATGCTTGAGAGTTTGTGTAAAGAGTTGAGTATTACAAGTGGTAATCTGAACCATTACTTACACAAACATACCATGATCACAGTTCAAGCACTTAATCATTTTTAGGGTGCAGTGGCATTTGTCACTGGGATTGGCAAGTAGTGCACATGTTTCGGCTCCTATGATAGTAAGTTCTTTTTAATGTTCTTTTTAATTGCTAGGAGTCTATTATTACAACATACAACTTGTCTGTACAAGCAAATTCTGATGATGACTTAAGATTATATGTTTAAAACTCCTTAATACTGTTTACCTGGCAGGATTTAAAGTAAGTAGTGCTTGAATAACTTCATTTTTTTTTAGTTTTTCTTGCTGTGTTTATGGTAAGTAGGATAACTGTTTTAGGTTTCTGTTAAAGATTCAAGGATCCTTTGTTGTATATAAGTAATCTCACTTTCTGTATTTCTTTCTTTGTTAGGTTTAGATAACACTTAATTGTACTTTTTGTGGTTTTTCAAATGTTACAGTATAAGATTTTTTTAGAAACACTTTTTTATTTGCCTTGAAAGTTTATAAATTTTTTGTTGGTTTTATAGTTCAGCAGATTTTGACCTTGATACATCTCTCCATCTGTTCTATACAAGTATTGTTTGCTTAAGAGGCTGTTACATGAGGCTGCTTTTTTGCATGTGAATGTTTAATTTTTTATGTGTGTATACAAACATATCTCACATATACGTTTGAAGTATATAAAGAAATTCTAGAAATTTCTGAGACAACTATTTTAAGATGTAAAGGTGAGTTGTTTTAATGGTATTGTAGCAAATTTATTCATTAACTTGTACAAAGTATTTTCTTGAGCTTCTGTGTGATTGTTTTATTATTCTTTCACCATCACTAATATAGTTTTTCTGTATTTAGTAATTTCCTGGATATAATGTGCAGTGTACTATGTTGATAGTATGTATATATGTATCCAAAAGGTCAAGATAGTAATTTTTAGCATTTACACAAGTCATTATTTTAGATTACATGTACTATACTTATCTGCATAATATGTATGTGTGTGTCTGTATGTTAAGGATTTTATTAATTATTTACAATAATTCACATTCCTGCATAAATGTGTGGATTTTTTAAGTTATATTTTATCTATTTCATTTCAGCAAGCACTTTTCTGAAGCAAGTTGACAAGTGATCCAGCTTGCAAAAGTCGTTTTTTTTTGCTGATTCTTTCCCGTCGTAGGTAAGTCTTTATTACTAAAACTGGAAAATTGTCATGCTTTGACAGACAGTTATTACCTGACGGAAAGAAAAAAACGATAAAAGACTGAATGTCTTTATAATCAATACTTATTTAATTATGATCATTTTAACAAGTTAACCTTAATCCCATCTGGAATCAATTAATGTGTTTAGTTTCAAACTATGTGGAATATTTTCATACATTTTTGAGAGAAATGTGTGAACTTGTCTTAGAATTTCTCTAAATAACTTTTATAGTTATTAGTGTAAGTTAACTGAAGACATTGAAATACTCCATACAGTAATAGAGTAAAATGTATTATTGTATGATATATCAATCCTGTATATGATTTTAAGTTTATTTTGTTATATTTTATATTGATAACAAAAACAACCTAGATTTCTCCTTGAAGTTGTTAAAAACAGTACTCGTGTAAAAGCATTATTTGCAGTGCTATGAATGAGATGCTCATAATTTTGACAAAATTATAAAAACAAAAGACCCCCTTAACTAATGTTTAACAAGTTTTATAAAATATCTTCAGAATACATATATGTTGTATTGAAGATTAATAACTTATGGTATAATATGATCATTTCAAGGAAACTTTGGGTGCAGTTGGGATTTTTTTTTGTATGCACATATGTTTAGAAGTTTTCATTTTGAGAGGAGACTTGTGGCAGACTTTCATTTGCACTTTGACGTGAAACACAAATCAACATATTTTGTTTGAGCCAGGCATGGCCTAGTGGTTTGATTGCTAGGCTGCAGTTTGAAAGCTCCAAAGCTCAAGCCCTCAGTATGCCACTAAACATCCTTCACAATTTCAGCTTTGGCATGCTGTAGAATCATGTTCTTTCACTGTTTGAAAATTGTAAATTAAAGATAGTTTAAAGGTATTTTTTATAATTGACACATGTGCTGATTCAATATCAACAGGGCAGAAATGGATTCAAGTAAGGTCTGGGCTCCGGATCCCATTGATGGCTACAAGCTTGGGACTATTGTTGATATTAGTGAAGATACCATTACAGTAGAACCTTTTCAATCTCCAAACCAAGTAATGCTTTGTTTCATGCTTTTGAGGCATTAATTCAGGGTTATATGTTTATCTTAAATAATGTTTTAAATTCAACAAGTTTTTAAACTTTAATCAACATGTAGCTAAACAAAAAGTTTATTCTGTCTTTTTCTTTGTGTTTTTTGTAGATTTTGAAAATTAATTTTTATGATTGCTTGCTCTAATCATAAGATGCAAAAGTAGAACTGTGTCCACAACTGAATGAACTTACTGGATAATATTTTAATAAATTAAGAACTGTATAAAATCATAGAAACCTATTTGGTGTAATTTTTTGAAACTTTTGTAAGAATTCTTGATAAAATAATCTTATTAGATAGAAAAATTATGATGGATTTAATGTCACTGGAGACAAGAATACGTGAATGTTGTTAAATTCTGTGACACTGATCGACAGAAAGCTTAAAGTACCTTTTATTTAAAAATGTGTTACTTAAGTAATGAAATAAATGAACATAATATATTCATTTATGAGTTTTCTACTTCTTTTTTTTTGAAGTAGGGGGGTGAGTTGGTGAATGGATGTGACAAAATAAATGATACGAGTTTCTATGAATTAGAGATTTGAAGTTACTAAATAAAGTAATTTTTGTATACAGATTTGTTTTATATACCTTTCTCAACAGATCATTACTGCACCTTATGATAGTGTATTTCCAGCAGAAGATGACAACAACAAAGATGTGGATGACAATTGTGAGATTTGAGTTTTAGTACATAATCTAACACAAAAGAGAAGTTATTTTTTTGAAATGTTAAACACTTATGTTAATACATTTAAAACCCATGGGAGAGTGCTGTAAGCCCAGTTATATTTACTGATTACCTCATCACCTTTGGTGGTGTTTTTATCCCTGTGTGTGTTTGTCAGCAAGATTTCTTGAAAACAGCTGATTGGATTTGGACGAAAGTTGGTAGACATTTAGAACATGACCTAACTTAGAAGTGATTAGTTTTTTGGATCAAGGTCAAGGTCAGAGCAAGGTCACAAAAATCCAAAACATCCCTATCTGTTAACAGTTGTTTTGCTCTATAACTCAGTTAAAAGTGATTGGATTTAGATGAAACTTGGTCGTCCTATTTAGATTTTTCATTGTCCTGCCAAAAATGGTCCATGTCTGTTTATAATGATAGATATACAGACACATTTTCTTATTTTTTAGAGCCGAATATGCTGGGTGGTGGAGGTATTCACTCTACTGAGTGCCCCTCTAATTAATTATTGATTTTGCACAAATAAGTGCATAGTACAAAAGCAAGTCGTATACTAGTTATTTATAATGCAACATATTTACCCGAGCAGTGACATTTGTAAATAATGTAAAATGCATGAAATATTTCATATAACTTGAGAAGATTAAAGTTCCTTATTTTGTAATTTAAAAAACAAGGTGTAAAATCCACAAGGAAGGATGTTAGAATACAGATTTTACTGGTGAACATTATAGGAATAATGACAGTGACTGTAGTTTTTTTTAAATATAATAAATAGTCAATTTTAAAGCTAGAGTTTCTAAATGCAGAAGTTACATATACTCTTTTGTATTGAAGGAAGAGACGTTTGTATGAATATTTGTAATAAATGATTGACTGTACTTTGTTAAAATATATTTTGCTTCATGTTTTAAAAAGCAGTTTTTTTACCCGTTATTATAGGCAGTTTGATTTAAAATGTTTTAGAATTCTCTTTTTTGTTTGGTACTCGTATGTGGAAGTAGTCTCGTGGACCTTCATATATTTATATCCCAATTACATATTATCATGTGAACTCAACAGCTTTCTAAATAGACAGTCAACCTGTATTATAAAAAGAAAGGATAAAAATAAAAAAACTTTAAAAAGTAACATTGAAGTGATAGCTAGTTACTTGAAAAACTAAACTGCCATTTAGAAATAGCAGCTAATTACTTGAGAAGATGTCCTCTTTAACACCTTCCACATTTGCATATGTTTTCCCATTAAGATGGTGTTGCAGCGAACTAAAATATGGTAATCTGATGGTGCCATATCTTGAGAATATGGTGGGTGGGGGAGAACTTCCCAATCCAACTCCATAATCTTATGTTGCATCAATCATGCCACATCTGGACGTGCATTGTTGTGGAGAAGAACATCTTTATAATTGACGAGTGAAGGGCATTTATGATTAAGGGCTTGATTTAAATGTTCCAGTTGCTGAGTATAGATCTCTGCATTGACTAGTTCGCTGTGGATTGAGGAGTTCAAAATGAATTACTCCTTTGAACCCCACCAAATGCAAAGCATGACTTTCTGCAGATGGAGTCCAGGTTTTGGGGTTGGAAGTGGTTTTTGTCTAGGACTGAGCCATTGTTTTTGGCATTTAATATTTGCACAGAGAATCCATTTTTCATCACCGGTAACAGTTCTGTCCAAAAATGGTTCACACACATTACGAGCCAGAAGAGATGAAGCAACATTCACATGTTGGAAACGATGATCATCGAGAGTTCGTGAAGCACCCAAACACCTTCTTTATGAAGTTTTCTCATATTCCTTAGATGTTTACGTATTGTTTCATGAGAGTCATGCAATTTCAGGGCCATTTCATGAGTGTTTTGTCTTGGGTTAGACTCAACAAGCGTCTTCAGAGCATCAATGTCAATTCCAACATGTCGGCTCCTGCCATCACAGTTTTTAAGACTAAAGTCACCTGAACCAAATTTGTTGAACCATCATTG